ACTTTGAGGAGCTGCCATTTCTTTATTATTAAATATACGTTATAACAGATTTAATAATGCAAATCAATGTTTTCACAAAAAAGAAAACAATATTAACCAACTGATGCTGGTAAAATTTTCAGATTATATTTATACAGGCAATACATTGTGTGAGCTTTCCATTCTCATATACAACTTTTTATCAGGTTATTGAAATATATTATGTAATATTTCATTAATATGTTGTCTTTGACAACTTTTTTGGCAAAGTGGACAATAGTTTACTTTACAGAATATGAAGGAACATTGTCTTCTAGGAAGATAAACTTTTAGCTTAAAGCATCTTGGCTGATAACCTGTACAACTCAAAAAGAACTTACACTAATTTTCCACATTTATTTTGATACTGTTCTCAAATTTGAAGAGACTTATAATTTTGCTGCCTACAATACTAAGCCAAAATATTACACCACCTCTCTGCTGTTGTCTTCTAAGTCATGTTGAGAGATAATTTTCATGAAGAATTCAACTTTTCACCCAGCTATCAGGTCTATTCAATATAGCTCTCCATTCACCACTAAAAATTACTGTTGAGAAATCATTTTTCTTGTATTTTGCTCAGCTTATATATTTCTCTTTATGCGTAAAGTTTTATATTTTTAGCCAATATTTTGCATCTTTTCTGTATCCATTTGCAACACTATAATTTTTTTGTTGATCAATCCCCTTTTCTTGCTTAGTTTTTTTTCATATCATTTGTTAATGTTTCTGATTTCTTTAAGTATTGTTCTCTGATCTCTTTTCAAATTTTTCACAATTTCCATTATTATATTCTCATCACTTCAAAAAATTAAAACATGTTTCTTTTTTGAGGTTATATGATTCTTATGACCCATGACAATTTTTATGCATCTTGAATTTAAAAATAAATATCAATTACTATACTATTATATATATATATATATATATATATAACTACTTACAAGATAATGAAGAACCTTTGAGCTGTATAATAAAATCTCAAATAAGTTATCAATATTTTTAGATATACTTAAGCTAAAATTTACATGGTACATTTATTATATGAGTACATGTTTTTTTTAATAAGCAACTTTTTGATGAGTACTTGCATTGCTCAAGTTTTGTGTAACAATTAGTGCTCAAGTTGGGTGCTTAAGGTTTTTATGCTCAGGTCTAATGAACAGAAAAGTAAGACATTTCAATGGAAAAATCAAGTAGAATTTTTGAAGGCAGCAGAAAAAATCTTTTTGTTTAGTTTCAAGATTTCTGTTTTTTTTTTTCTTCTTTTATTTGAGTTGCTTAAGTCACACTGACCTCAGTCATGGAGTTGCTTCAATTTCATCATATCTACATTATTTACATTATTCAGACTATTGTCCTCATCTTTGTCGCCATATTTATCACAACGTTTCAGCCGTTGTATGCTCTGGCCTTCTTCAGGTGGTTGGAATTTCGAACTGAACCCTTTATTTCGCTCACTGGGGTAGACTGTTCTAGTTCCACGTGCCATGTTTAATGGATGTCAGTTATCAGTTATCTTCTGCTAATTTCCCTCTGAAAGTTCTCCACTGTCTTAACCGGGTATTGAACTCACATTCTTTGGGTCCTGTCACTGGATCTAACCAACGCCTTTATCCACTGTGCCATGTGTCCTTGAGCGTACAACGGTCGAAACGTTGTGATAAATATGGCGACAAAGATGAGGACAATAGTCCGAATAATGTAAATAATGTACATAATACCTCATCTCAGAAATATAGACAGACTTCATCATATCTGCGTTCAGTTGTTTATAAATAAGTTGTTTTATAAAAATCCCCAAAATTTAACCAATATCAGTTTATTGTGGAAATTCATGGAATTTTGACTTGTATAATAAAATCTGGTATAGCCAGAAAAGATTCTTCTCTTCTTGGAAACTTTCTTATTAACTTGTTATTTGAAATTGCAGAAGAAATGTAAATTGGGTAGAAAACCAAGATAGACATTAATTATCACATAGAAAGGAACTTTTTTCTGCTATCAGTATTGATACAATCATTTTACATGCTATTATGATCATAATTTCCATGTATATTATTTCTTTTATCTACAATTATCATTTATGAATAATGCTTTTTATTTATCATCTTCATTTTCACTTTCCAACCTTGATAGAGTTCAAAAGTTTTGTAGGGGAGGACTTATTTTCCACACTGCAACCACCAACAGATATAACATTGTTATTTTATCGCATTTTTCATGACAAATGTTCAGATGATTTCCACTCTTTAATTCCACTTTATGACTAGGACTCACCATGTTATGTCCACAGAGTTGACTCACGCACATTTCTTCCATATTTCATTTGTAAGATGGAAGTTCCACTCAGTTTTTTTCCCCCAAGAACTGCTACTTTGAGAAACAAACTCCTGCACAGTTGCTTTTCTGAACACTAAAAATTTTAACCTCTTCAAGTGAAGGGTCATTTGCTATCTATCCTCATCATATCTTCACTTACATACCTCATACAGTAACCCTCCACCATAAGTGGCTATTAAGCTTTGTATTGAGAGATCTATAGTATTAAAAAAAATCAGAGCTGCATATTCTAAGAGGTTTCTATTAAATGCCCTTAGAATATACAGTCCTGAATGTTTAAATGAAGAAAATTATATTTGAAAAAAAAAACAAAAAAACCTTCAAACTCCTTCACTACCACCACCATATTCTTTATCTCTTATAAAAAAATGCTTTTTATTAATCAACTTCATATATCATCTCATTACTTTATGATACTTATAATTATATTTTTCAGCTTTTTACTTCTTTATGAGTGGATGTGTGGTGGTGTAATGGATAGCAATACAGAATGAGAAATTGGAGGCCTGAGTTCAAATTCCAACCAAGTCTGTTGCATTCACTTATGTGCAAATACTTTCAGGAAAGGTGTAAATCCATCTTTTCTCCTTTAGCTATGGGTAAATAACTGGATAGAATAGACCGTATAGCCTTGGTTGGCAACCAGTTGAGGAAAAGTAAATCTCTGAATTCAAATCAGCCTGGAGAGGACTCGGCTTTGTCAAGTTATCTTGCCCAAGACACACCACTGCTGTCATGACTGCAGTATGTGTGGTGAGCCTACGACCCTAAGGAGTCATGGGAATTGTGATCGTGACTTCTTGACAATATTATTATACTTTTCTTGTATTTGTCTGGTTATTTTTTTCAACAGTAATAATTCTTTAATTTTTTTTATTATTTGATCTATTCCCATTATAATTATTTTTATTCTTCTTCTTCCATGTGCTGTGTCCATTCAGGACGTTGGTGATCATAGCTCTCCATAATTTCCTGTTCTTTATAACTGTTAATAAATTGTCTTCTTGCTATCTTTCCTGAATTTTGTTCTGCCATCCATTTACATAAGCTAGGTAGGTTATGCAATGATTTCCTCTGTCCCGCTATCCTTCAATCTGTCCCATGAGTATCAAATTTTCCAAGTCCTCTTTCCTCATTATGTGACTTAGAAATTTCTACTATTCCTTTCTGATGTTAAGTATGAGTCCTCTTTGTCATTGTCTCATGTTCAATTGAGAGTTTTCTCACCATCATTCTGCAAAACCACATTTCTGTTGCTTCAAGTTTCTTCATTATCTCTTCCTGATGTAAAGTACAAGTGAACTTTTTGTTTCCATTTTCTCTGAAACTTAATTGTTTGGTCCATGGTATTTCTGTTGCTTCAAGTCTCTTCTTCATCTGTAAGGAGATTGTCCAGCATTCACTGCCATATAGGAGGACTGATATTACATAATAATTCGGCACTGTTTTCTTTGTTTTTAATGAAAATTATTTTTCCTTCTTTCATTGGCTAATTTGGAAATATTCAATTAGAACAGAAAATGTATACTTAAGATCATCTTTTGAAATACCTTTGGGTAGTTCTGTATATTTGGTCATGAGTGAACAAAAATGTGCTTTGTCTAGATAAATAAGTTAATGCCTATTTATAGTACATTATAATGTCTAGTATAGATACTGATGCTTGAGAATTTAGTTAATGAAAGCTACATATGTCATTGTCAATTTTAATGCTGCAAAATAAATGACTAAAAGAAAAAGAAGTAAAAAAAATTACTTTTTGATCAATTATTCGAAAGAAAATGTAAAATCCTTTTATTTTTATTTATTTTTTTTTTTAAATAAAGATGGGTTACTTTCTTAAGATATTTCTTTTGATTTAGACATTTCCTTGCTTTCAGATCTGTAATCTAATATGCAACTTTGACCAGAAATGCTTATTGACACTCTTTATGTAGAGATAAATTCTCAACTTTGGAGACAGCATTAGTGTATAAAAAGAATTTAATTACAGTTATTTCCCTTGAGGAATGACCTTGAAACTTTTTCTGTCCCTCTTATGCTTTGAATTAAGACAAACGTTGGAATTGACTGGACGTGGATGATGGCTAATTATGAGTGACTCAGGAGAAGCTTATCCAGACAATTTTCTGACATGTAGAGAATTTGAGGGAAAACATCATTATGCAGGTATTACCATATAAAAGTTAATGTCATAAATAAATTTTCAGTGACATTTCTGTAAAACTTGAAACTTTTTCAAAACATCTTACAATATGGTGCTAAACATGAAAATATATAAAAACTAGTCAAAATAAGTTTGTTTTTTAAAGTTAGTTTAAGGATACAATAAATAAAATTAAATATGTTAATATTTTCTAAAGTTAATGAGTAAAAATGCTCAATTTTTGCATATAAAATTGTGAGAAAACTTTTTCCAAACTGATTTTCTAGAACATTTTCTGACTAGTCATTCAATTAGAAAAATAATAGAAAATTGATTTTTTTTTTTATGAGAAAAGTATTTTAGGAAATTTGTGTTTTTTATGACCTCAAAAAGAAAATGATTAGAGTCTAATTTTCTAATTGCTTATTTACAATAAAAAAAATCTTAAATAATATAAATGAATGAAAATAAACAATTAAGATTTAATATATACCTTTAGTTTTGGACACACATTATTTGGAGCACGCTTTATATATTTCTGGCCATCACTGTATGATTCTGGACATTTTGGGACTGCAGGGTTCTTTGAGTCACAAATAACCACGGTAGCATTTGTACTTCGATTTGGATGTACCTCTAGAATCATGTTATAGTAATCTGGTAATGGATGCCTGAAAAGAAAATAATAATAAAGCAAAAATATAGAAGTGTTTATATTTAATTTTTAATGACAGAAAATTTAATAGATCCACATTATTGTAAGCATTCATTTAAAATTGAATTGAAAAAAAATTAGAGACGTTATTTTTTTAATCATTTCACCCCAACCAAGGCAAGAATGCAATTAGTATGCAGGCGGTTACAGGGAGTGAAAGTGAGAGAAAAGACTGAGTATATTGAGGAAAGGACAAAATTCAAAATTTTTAAGATTGTTGTTATCAGGGAAGCAAATAAACAGAAGGGAGTTCCACAGGCTGGAAGTGCAAGAAAAGAAACCATTGGAGTAGAAGTGGCTGTTGTGTTTAGCTATTTCAACAGTAAATGTGTAAGACCTAGATGCCAATCTAGTAGTTAACTTAAATTCATGTAATCAGGCCCCAAGGGAAAAAGCTCATCAGATCAAATCAAATCCTCATCTTTCCATATGAATAATGGTGGTTACATTATATAGCTTGGAGTCTGTGAAGTACTGGGATCATTGTATTGGCACATCTTTCTAGGTACTCTCCAGGCCTGTCTATAACTGAGCTGTGTTTATTGAGTATGATTGCAGGAAATATAGTAATATGTTCTATATATGATTAATGGGGTTTAAATCTGGTGAGAACAGGGGCCATTTGAACACCTGCAAGTCAGCTGAGTGTTTCTGAAACAAGTTTTGAGTCACTCATATGCAGATGTTGCTCATTGTCTTGCCAGAACAACCCATCACCAACATGAAACCTGGGTACAAATGGTCTGTAAGAAGAACTGTGTATGTCACACCTATCAAAACAGACACCAGTTTCTTGAAAACTGTAACAGCACAAACCCTACATCATTTCAGAGCCAACCCTAGCTTGCACAGCACTGTCCACAGGCTGGATTCCTAACTTCATGCATTCTCCTCGAAACATGGGCATGAAAGTGCTAGAAATTTGACTAGTCTGACCAGGTAACATAGCATCAGTTTTCTACAGCCCAGGTATGGTGATGCTGATATTAGTACTCTTGTTGGTTAATAATTAAGAAATCTAATGAAACACAGTATATACTGTATAGTGTGTTAGCTGATCAACACCAGCATTGACTTAGGATGTGATTTAATGCAATGTTTCTCTTTATTGGACAGGTAACCTTTTCAGATTCAAGCTTAAATCCTGTTCATATCCCATACCTTATACAGACAATCTCTTTACCTATTATGTCATCTAAATGATGTAATAGGTAAAAATATCAGGTCACTTTATGAGTTCTACTGGTACCATAAAACCCAGTACTATCTGCTGTATGGTTGGATTATCAGCAACTAAAATGGTTCTCATCAGGCTTTTCTGGTGAAGAGGGTAGCTAGAAACCCAACAGGATCAGATAAAAGACTTATCAAAAAAAAGGAAGAATCTTCTTAAAGACTCAACATCCATCTAGCCAATGGGGTAGACTGGGCTCCGTAGCTATCTATGCAATGATAACATGTTAGTATTGGGTGGGGAGTGTCCTAGATTGAAGTCAACAATCAGAGCAGAGGATCTCCCTCCCAATGAGATCAACAGCTATGATCAAGGTGAGCCTTCAAGTTGGAAGACATTATCTGTGGTTTGACCTGGAGTGGGATGGGCTCCACCAGGTTTACTTATCCAAGACATATTACATATGAATGAATATTTCTCTGGCTTTCAATTGAGATAGGGGAAGGGACCTGTTCAAGTCCTCAGTTGTGGAGTGACCCAACTACTGTACCCAGTCAGGGGATTGATGCTGAAAATGATAATAACATCTGAATAAGTTAATTTCTACAAATAAGGGTGGGAAAAACCATCTCTAATTTTTTAGCCCTTCAGTTTATATCATAGTTTCATAAAAGAATATCCTGCATCTCAAATAAAATAAAGTTACATGCCAATTCAATCATTTATTTCTACAGATAAGCCTTTTCTTATGACTATAAACATTATTTTTAGTGGGACTATAGTAATAGTTTATAGTAATAAGAAATAATGCTGTATCAAAAATTCATTAAAAAATTACAGATAATCGTGTAATTCTCCTGGAGTGACCCCTAGGATAAACTGATAGAATTCTTTATGGCTTTCATTGACTGATTTGATTTTGGTAGCTTATCAACCATTTGTGGGTTATTGAACCACTCCCCTGCCAATTATTTAGGGAAAAACATTTCATTTTCAGATGAGGTGTTTTATTTGTTATACAAAGTGCCAGCATTCCATACCATAATATCCATCAGATGGAAGAAAACTTTCTTGACTGTTTCAGGAAGACTAAGAAATTGGACTTTTTTTCAAGCTCAAAAGGGCATAAAAAGAATCAAGGTCAATGTATAAACATATCTGTAGCTGGTTTCTGAACATTATGTTTTGGAAAGGTTTATACATCTGTGTCTGAAAAACACACTTTTGGTAAACACATATATACACGTCTACGCTGGGCAAGGGGTTAAAGCTGAAACATATTTTGGACTGTAGTAGGTTGCATTGAAAGAAATGTTCTGCATATATTCAATCAAAAAGGATATAAGGAAGGTGTTTCATTTGTTTGTTTTTTTAAAATGTACTGACAAAGTACTGACCCTCAAATTTATTACCAATTGTACTGCATGTATCATTTTCTTTGTTGCACATCATTTTAGCCCATTGTATCCATTAGAGTACAATGTCTATATTTTTTCTTCTAAATTTCCCTTTATTTCAAGTATTCATTCAGAAGGAAGAAATCATTAATCCCAGAATCAAATTGACAAAGAAAAAGGTGAATCTTGTTGCACTGGATTTTCCAAATAAATTTTTTGTCCTGTGGTGTATGGTGCCTTTGATGATATGATATCTTCAAAGGGTAGTTATATGAAGAGTTGATCAAGTGTTTAAAAAAAAAAAAAAAAAAAGAGACTAGAGGGCAGAGGACAATATATTGATAGATAAATGGTGAACATCAAAATTGCAGAGATGATATGAGTGATAACATAAAAAAATCTGAGTAAGAAAGATTATATAAATGAATACAATTAGTCAGGGAAAAACCCAGAAGGAATGGCATTAAGAGTTAAGATGGATATTGAAAATGAGAAGAAAGGACTAAACATCAACAGAAAGAAGACAATCTATGATTTTCAACAAGCAGGACAAGCCAAGATGAAAACTGCAAATTGGAAATACCAAAATCAAGTATGGACGAAAATTGAAATATCTGGAAGTGTTTTAATAGAGGACAGTAAATATGACACAAAATCTGATGGCTGCAATAGTGAAAGCTGCCTTCCAAAAGCGAAGCAAACTATTAAGAGATAGGAAAAAATTGTTACAAACATGGCAAAAAAGATGTGATTCTACAGCAGGCTGCTTAGAATACCATGATCAGAACACACAAGCAACAAGAAAGTCTTAAGCTGATATTCAGTATCAGAAAGAAGAGTCAGTTGAAATTTTTAGGATACATAATGGCGAAAGAGGGGTTGAAGAATATGACCCTCATAGGACATATTGAAGGTAAGAGATGCAGAGGGAAACATTGAGCAAGCTATGATAACAGAAAAAGTCAAAAGTATCGACAGGTGTGGCTCAGTGATTAAAACTGAAAAACAGGAAATTCTCTTAATGAAACTTAATTTTAATGTTTAATTTTGTATCAAATTAATTTAATAAGACATTGCTGAGTGCATGCTGCAGTAGAGAGCATTTTCATCGAGTAGTTTTTTAAATCTACAATCATGGCTCTTCAGGACATAGGCGATCATGACTCCACATTTTCTTGTCCTTTGTAGCACTTAATAAATTTTTTTTATCTTTCTTAAACCTTCTATAGAACCACATTTCTGTTGCTTCAAGTCTCTTTTCATCTGTGAAGAGATTGTCCAGCATTCACGGCCATACAGAAGGACTGATATGATCTAACACTTTAGTACTCTTTTCTTTGTTTCTAACAAAATCTTTCTGTAGTGTATAAACGTTAACGTATACTCTTTTTATTTATTTGCAAACACTTCTTTTTTATTGTATATATATATATATATCAAGTAGAGGAGTTTAAATATCTGGGAAGTGTTTTAACAGATGATGGAAAATGTGACACAGAAATCTAAGGGCACATTGGAATAGAAAAAATGTTGAACAAATTCCTAACAGATGGAAAGAAAACTTAAGGCATTAGAGATATGGTCCTACAGAAGATGCTGAGTACAGAACATATAAGCAACAAGGAAGTTTTAAGAAAAATGCAGAGGGATGGATAATTATACATAAAACCAGCCAGTTGAAATTTCTGGGACACATAATGAGAAATGAAGGCCTAGAAAATTTGACGCTCACAGGACGTACTGAGGGACAGAGGGAAGCAGCAAGTAACCTACCTAATGAGATTGTAGAAATGGATAGCAAAATAGAGATTGAGCTGGAGAGTAATAATGATGAAAGAGGGCTTGGAGAATTTGATACTCACAGGACATATTGAAGACAAGTTGGACAAAGGGAAGCAGCAAGTAACCTACCTAATGAGATAACAGAACAGGAAGTGGGAGGGATATTAAAAAGACAAATATTGCTAAGAACAACAAACGATACAAAGTTATGGAGAGCCATGACTGTCAATGTCTTGAAGGTTCACAGCACATAGATGATGGTACTAATGTCAGCAATATATAGAACCTTTGCTGTATAAAATAAGAGCAATTGGAGATTGTTATTACAACTAAATAATGTATAAAATTTTAAATTCAGTCATTATTCCAGGAGATGATTTTTATGAATATTTTTTTTGTTTTACCTGAAAAACAAGCAAGATGAGAATATTAGTGAAAACATAGAATAATTATTTAGGCTCTATTTCAATGGTGAAAATCATTGCAGAAAAAAAATGCAAACCATAAATAATTCAGAATAATCATTTTTTTTTTTTTTTAGATACTTAAACCATTTAGTAATTTGTGTTTTGGAAAATTTGTTTCTTCAAAAAATGTAAATCATTGGGCAAAATTAACTTGTGTCATGAATAATTCAGAATTGATGAATGTTGATTTTGATGAATAAATACAATATAAAAATATTTTCACTGTTTATAGGCTTGCTTTGAATTATACTCAAAAAAATAAATGAGATGAATCATCATATTTATAAATACTGATATGAGATGAATCATTATTTTTATATCATATGTTGGTCATAGAATCAATATTGATATATGATGAATCATTATTATTATATCATACTTGTATCATGTACTCAACATTGATATAAAAAGATGAATCACTAATTTTACATTATTTTTCAAGTTCTCAAGATTGATACAAAACAAATCCTGATTAATATCATCATTGTATCCATACATCTTTGTATAGGAATGGTTTGGATGCTAATTACTTATATTCATTATTTACTAATAAGGCAATCATGAACAACTATGAAATGATTCAGACAAATTCTGCAGGCTGATACAAAAGGTATAATTATAATTAAGATTTGACGAAGAACCTTTTTACATTTTTGGTATTAATATATTAAATGAGCATAGAATAATGGAGAACTTTTAATGCTATTCAGGATTAAGTATATGCACTGATTACTGAGTAAGATTAACAAATTTAATAGGGACAGATAGGTTTTCCTATCATCTGGTTCACCTGGTCTTTTGAAAAGAATAAAAGGTTTATCCATTGTTTTCTGTTTTTTTTTTTTTTTTTTCAGTTCTTTCTAAAGTCTTTTTATTCTCATCCAGTAACCCCCATGCAACTTGGCACTATCACCTTGCTTTGGGTGAATTGATAAAGAGGTTTCAGGGTTAATCAAAGATGATTGGAGTTCTAGAATGCTCTCCATATTGGTCAGCTTTTTATGCAAAATTTATATAACTGCACCGGTAATTACCAAAAGGCATAAGTTTATGACCCAAATTTTACATTATTGAAAGAGGAGCATACCGTAACAATATTATTAAGTTAACATACCTTAAGCAATATTATTGATACTTATTAAACAATTCTGGAATAGTAGTCTAGTTACTTTAGTTCTGAAGAAATAATTTTAAATTTCTCTTTTCCCAAAGCATTCAAGAAATTCATCAACAATGGCCATCAATCTCTGTCAGTGGATCTTGGCAAACCTATTCGGTTATGAAAGTTCTACACTACAAATCATGAAAACAAAATGTCTGCTTTTGTGTGGAATGCTCAGAAAATTATTCTTCCAACCTGACAAAAATCAATGGTCAGCATTTTGATGGAGGATTGGATTATGTAAGCTAATTAATTATGAAAGTCACAAGCTAAGGCACTTTTATATGATTCTGTTTCTTGGATTACATTACTCAGAATAACATCAAAGATAAATAGAATTGGGCACTTTAATTTGACATAGATGTAGATTGTTATAGACAAGCATAAAATAAAACAGTGAAGTATATGGAAATATTTGAAGCAAATATAACAGAAATAAAAGGTAGCAGAGATGAAAGCACATTAGAACTTCTCCAGATTCAGGGTCTTTTCACTCCTTAGAGGAACCCTTCTCTGATTGACCAAGTCTTTTGGAGTGTAGCTATACTCATCACACTTGGCAAGTTGTAAGTTGATGAGGCTATTTAACCTATAGTTGGAGGTTTTAAATTCATAGTTGTCCTCCTCCTAGACTGGTTGCCACCCAAGGCAATAGGAACCAGTATATCCTACTATTTACCCATAGCTTGGTGGGGGGGGAGATGGATTCATACCTTTCTCAAGCTTGTTTACATGTAAGTAAATGTAATAAATTTGACTGAAATTTGAACTCAACTCTTTAATTCCTCAATCCAAGCTGCTATCCATTACTCCACCATGTGTCTATAACAAAATTAACAATGTGGAAATAATTTCATCCCAAGCAAGGCAATAAAGTCATTAAGACCTAAGGGTTACTGAATGTGAGAGAATATGAGAAAAAGAAAACAGTGTTAAAGAGAGAGAACAATAAAAGAACAGGAATTAAGAAGACAGAACGTAACAATTGACATTGCATTTATATTTTTGAAGATCAAACTTGACTGGAAAACAAGAGGCTGGAAGAGAGTTCCACAAGTGAGAAGTGTGAGAGAAAAAAATTGTTAGCTAGAACTTATGGTTATATCTAGCCATTTCAACTGTAAAAGGATGTGACCTAGCTGCAAATCTAGTACTATGCTTAAATTCATAAAGTCAAGGTACTGAAGAGGAAAGCTGATCAGAAAAAATGGTATGAAAATATTTATACAAGAGGCACATGGAAGCTACATTACGAGCATGGAAAAGTGATTGGAGCCTGTCGGAGTTAACTCCTCCTTCAGTTCGTAACCCTTTCACCAGGGGTCTCTCTTTCCTGGCTATAAATAGCCAATGACCCTTTGCCTCGATCTCTTTTTTCCTTTCAGGCCTGTGCACTGACACCTCGAGGTAAATTTCTCTTATTCCTAGAGGATTTCAACTATCAACCTCGAAATGTAGTCGTTAACAAGGAATAGCGTGGAAACACGCTAAGCACAATATACACACATGCACACACACACAGAATATTCACACACGCACGCACATACAGAATATTCACACACACTTCGTCCTTTGTACTGTTTCCATGTATTGTAACTTGTTAATAATATATATTTGTATATACATATATTATCGGTCTTGTTTTTGTTTGCTTTCTTTTCCTTCTTCTTTGGACTTAATCAAAGTCCAACCTTTTTATGTAGTTGGGCTCGGCGGGCAGGAGTATCTGAACCTTGCGTTTCTTCTACGTCTGACTTCTATCAATAACAAGTGGCAACTGCCATTCCCACAACAAACCGTAACCGCCACGGCCTTCTCTACAAGCCAATATACATAGCAGAAGCATCAGGCCAGATGTGACAATAATATTCAATGCATATTATTTAGAGACATTCCTTTCCATGAAATCATAGGTGTTTTTAATTGAATGAAAAAGTATAAAATGAAGATCAGCATTTGAGATATAGTGTGATATTTTGCTTTTATAGTCATTTCATTCTCATTGACAAGTCTTAACCTATTAAGAAACAATCCTTTAGCTAATTTCTGTTTAAATTTCTGAAATGAGTGATAAACATTGTGTAAAACTGATTTCATCAAATTGCTGCTCTCTTGTTGGTTATTATAATCTTTATATTTGAGCTGTTGTACAAGGGTGGGTCTAAAAAGTTCATAGGCTGATTATGAAGGAGGTGATGCTTGAGCTGTAAAATCAAGCATGTTTCTTTCCAGCTATGAGGGTGGGTCTGTAAAGTTCATAGGCTGACTATAAAGGAATGAGGCTAGCGCTGTGAAATCTGGTATACATTAATTTCAACTCTTTTTATTAATAACTGCATTGTTTCTTTCCAGGTACAAGGTGGGTCTGAAAAGTTCATAGGCTGACTATGAAGGAATGATGCTAGAGCTGTGAAATCTGGCATTAATTTCAAATCTTCTTATTAATAATTGAATTGTTTCTTTCCAGGTAAATTGGCAAGGAGGACTATGTTGAAAAATAAACCTCATTTGGTCACATTCCATGGGAGTGTCTTGGTTAGCCTATGAACTTTTGATCTGATCCTCATAGCTCATACCTACAAGGTACCTGGTAACATTGTTGGAATTTCTGACAAAGAATTTTCATCAATCCATGATAGGGAAGCAGATATACAAGATTGGTTAAAGTAAGCAGATAAGGAATATTTTTGTAATTTCTTAGATAATTTTTATTGTTTACATACAAGAAAAATCTATTTGGATCAGGTGAATATTCTTGAAACATTTTAAATTAAATGCTTTTAAAAATGCTTCTGGTCAATATCAAAATCAGAAAAAATTGTAGATTCATTTTTTTTTTTTTTTTAAGTGTTTGTGTGAAGCTCAGGAGAGACAGTATATATATATATATATATATATATATATATGTTTGTGTGTGTGTGTGTGTGTAGGATTGAAGAATAAATATTTGGTTATATATATATATAATTTTTCAAAAATGGCTTCTCCAAGGATTTGGCATTCACACACTGTGGAGGAAAACATAAAAATCTGTGGTGACTTGGTTTAATGATAATGACATTTCCGCCCTGAAACCATGGCTGAAGTCAGGGTCACTATCTGATGAAGGTTTTGTTGGAGGCAGGCCTCCTCCTTTTGTAGAAATAATTCTATGAATATATATCATGCAGACCCATATGTATTTACACTTAGCTAGTTACTTAAGAAATGATGATACATACCTACAATAGTTCTTCAAAATATTTCGAAATGTCTGCTTGACTTCACTGTGTATAAAAGAACTCTGTAAAAAGTATTGATTGTCATCGGGGTGGTCAATATCTACATATTCGGGCACCAAGAAAACATCGGTGATGCTGGCTTTCACCTGCAACCCCGACTCTCGCTTCCATATAAAGTCCATTGCTTGCTGGTTGTTGGTCACATACATGGTAGTTTCAAGTTCCTTGATGCTGTTTAAACGTTCAACAAACACATTCCCTGATGGCATCAATTGTAAGCTATTATTATCTGAAATAATTCAAAAAGAAAAAATAATATGAGTTATTCAAGGAAAGAAATATTTTAAAAAGTTAAAATAATTTTATGATTATTTATAAAACAGATAAAATATAGCATTTGTTTACTTTATTGATAAACGTTGAAATCGCTTACCTAATTCTTCCGTTTGATTAATGAGAGTAATTGTAAGTCATTAAAAATTAATAATAAATAAGACTTGGAGTATTTCTATAAAATATCTGTGTCCCAAAATGTCCCAGTTAAATACTTTCTATTTAGTAGTTGTGTGTATTTTTGCTCAAAACTATTATTCATTGGACTTTTCCAGAACTCATCCATAATAATTCTAGAAAAATTCTGTTCAAGAGAATTTTATCACAACTAGAACTTTTTGCAACATTCTGACAAGTGTTGAAATGTGTTTCATTCAATTTTGCAAAGCAATTGATGAAATTTGAATAAGCTCATTTGTTTGGAAAAATACTCTGACAAAAACCCTACTTCATGGTTTAATAATTTCTTAATTTAATAGGACTTCATGAAAAGCAACATTTTTTTTAAGAAAATTTATTTTTTTCCTTTTTAACAATGAAGAATAAATTCTTAGAATTTCTTATTCTTGAGCATGCAGCATACAACTGGACATGTCTAGATATTTCTTTTCTTCAAAAAATTCCAACTTTTAATTGTAGTTTGTTTATAGTCCTCACAAATGCAGGGTGAACTGGAATCTGGATTTTTGTATATAAAAACTTAAAAAAAGATATGCCAAAAACAATATTGCTTTTTTATTAAATTGTTTTTAAAATAGTGGGAGTATTTTGTAAGTTAAACAATGAAACTTTTAAGTTTTCCAAAACAATGAAAATTTATTGTACTAAGCTAGTAAAACCAACTGTACTTTGTATTCTTTTACCTGTCAGCACTTCTCCCCAAAATTTAGTTTCGTTCAGTCAATGTATGGCTATTTTAGAGGATGTGATGGACAGACAAACAGAGGTCACAGAATTTTATATATAGATTCTGAGCATAACATGTAATTATAGTTTAGATCTGTGATTTTCAACTGATGTGCCATGCAATATTGTCATGGCATACATATTGAATTTGGTACATTTTGGATTTCAATACAAAAGGAATATCCTACCTTAGCTAAAAAGCCTTCAACTGTTTTATTGCAATTTTTTAGATCTTATTGATGTCAATTAGACATTATAACATTAAAAATCAAAAGTGAGAAAGACTACGCACAACTGAAGAAATGAGCATCTGCACATTTGACCAATTGAAGAAATCGTGAAAAACACCAGGTACAGGTTTCACACTAAATAAGCTGCACAAATAGTTGAATAGAAACATTGAAATAAAGTAAATCTATGGTTTTATAATATTTAAATGCATACTCTTTAAAAATTTTGCTAAGCGTGCCATTTCTTAAAAAGATTGAGAAATACTGGTTTATATATATGACAAAAAAGGTATCATTTAAAACAGATAGCAGGGTAATATAGATTAAATTTAAGATAACAGGGTTGTTATTATTTATTATTATTATAAGCCTGCTTGGTGGCTGAGATAGTTTTATATCTTCCACTAGTAGTTAATGTTCAATCTTGTTAGGATTTCAAATATTGATTTTCAAAACAAGCAGTCTTGTCTTTCATCACCACTCCACACATACTAAAGTGGATATTTATTTTTTCTTATTGTTGTTCATTTGAACAGTTATAAAAATGGTGTTGTTATACTGAGAAAGTAACTGTTGATGATGATCTTTTAATGTGGTTAGAGGCTCCAGAAATCTGGGACAGTTCAAAAAGCCAGCCCGTTTCAGTTTTCAGGATGCAATTTCATGACTTTCAGTCAAAAGTCAGCTATTTTGACAAATGAGTCATAAAGATTACACCATCTGATCAGAGTGAATGGGCAAACTTAACAGCCATCATCTGAAAACTATAAATAAAGAAAGAAACTTCTGATTTTGAAAGTGGCACTTCTTGATTGAAGGACAAACATTCAGTTGAAACTGCATCTGTGTGTCTGTTACTCTATGTAATTTTTAAAAAAGATAGTAAACTTCGATTTTCTGATTTGAATGTGATGAAATAAAAAAATAAAATGTATTTGTCATTTCTCATGGATTTTGTTATCATAAAAATTGAAAATCTTGATAGGAAATTCATTCAAGTATAAGTGGTTACATATTGATAGTTCATAGGCAAAGTTTCAGATCATCATTAAAATTTTGCAGGATATCCATTGGTGAAAATTTTAGTTCATTTGGCAGGTTGGTTGAACTATTTAAACTATTAAATGACTGAAGATATCTAAACTTTTCATTTGTATTACCTCCATTGTCCTCTTCGAACAAGTACCAAAAAGAAACTATTATTTTTCTATAATCAATGTTTTATATTAATAGGGCAGCATAGCTAACCACTTGTTCTTTTTGTGATAAAAGCACCAAATATAAATAAATATATATATATATATATATATATATATATATAGCATAATATATTAAGAAGAAATGTGGATATTGAGCCATCACAGACAGGTATTCTGATTTTTCTAAAATATTTTCTAAAATGCCTGGCAATATTTACTGAGAGAGAATATTTTAAACACCCTTAAACTTTTACTTCCATGTTTTCAACACAATAAATATTTAAAGCAAGTGAAAAGTATTTTTTTATTACAAAGTACTGTTAGAATAGTTAGGTAACCATGACATATTTGGGAAGGATATTAGAATAATCCAGAATCTATACTGGTAGCAAACTGCCTGCATATGGATAGAAAATGAATTCAATAAATGTACAAAAATAGAGATGGGTGTAAGATCAGAAAGTGTCTTCTCACTGGAATTATTCAACTTATACAGTGAGGCAATTTTAAGAGAATTAGAAGTTCTACTAGGATTTATTATTGGCAGCCAGAATCTTAACAACATTCGATATGCAAATGACACAGTGTTGATAGCAGACATAGAAAAGGAACTAGAAGAAATCCTACAGACAGTAGTGAAGGAAAGCAAGAAGAAAGAATTAACATTAATTGTAAGAAGTGTGGCGGACATGAGACAGAACCTGGGACAAGCACAACTGGTCGCGACTTGCCTTGTCCCCGCCAAAAAAGAGCCCGTATTTGCTTAGCATGTAAAGCTACTGCAGTTGAAATGAGGGAGAGAAAAAAAGCACTTACCGCTCTGACGTAATCCATCCTCGGCCAGATAATGTAAAAGAATGAGGGGGGACTGGCATCGCATTTTTATCCAATAACGATGCAATGCATTATGGGACATGGACGCAATGAATTATGGGATCACAGGAAGACGCAAGGGATTATGGGTACATGAACAACTATAAAAACAACTACTTTTTTCCAAGTCGGCGAGTTCTTCGAGGGACGTTCACGGTTGATGGCTAGAACGGGCAGTTAGTGTGATTTGGAGACAGAACTCAGGAAGGAACGACTCAAGTTTGAAATACCAGTTGGGAGAGCTTGAATTAACTCGCTGGTTACTGTTTTCTTCATTCGCCTCATAGAATGCATGTTTGTAAGCAAAAGAACAACCCAACATGTAAATTATAAATTGAAGATACCAAAATTTCAACACGTAGAAACATTTTAAATATTTGGTAAGTGTTTTAAAAAAAGAATGGAAAGTGAGACACTGATATCTGAAAGTGCAAGAATAATGAAAGTATTAAGAAACAGGAAAATTTTGTTAGAAACAAAGAAAGAAGTACGATGAACTTTTAGAGAAAATGGAAACAAAAAGGCGTCATCAGGAAGGGATTGTTGAAATTTCTAAGACAAATAATTAGGAAAGAGGGCTTGGAAAATTTGATACACTCAGTACAGATTGAAGGCAAGAGAGATAGAGGAAAACAACATGAGCTTGAGTAAATAGATGGTGAAACAGGGTTTAGGAGAGATAACAAAATACAAAATTTATTAAGATCTACAAAAGACAGGAAATTGTGGAGAGCCATGATTGCCAATGTTCTGAAGGGACAAGGCATAGAGAAGAAGAAGCCAATAATGACTTAAATAAAGCATGACAAAATAGTGAAGTAATAGTAAATATAATTAAATATTAACATATGCTATGTAACAATGTTCAGCAAGTGTATTGGTGTTATTAATTATGCTACGTAATTTAGCTGAAAAGACCAGTGTAATCGCTGTATACAATTTGAAACATTCTATGGGCAAATCTTGATCATGTTAATTGTTCATAACAGCAAGACAACTTGCCCTGGATCATAGTGTGAGTAATTGAGTCAGCTAGCATATTCTCTCTCTCTCTCTCTTACAGAAGCTGAAGCCTGTGCACTGAAGTGCAACCTTCATGCACCTGTGAATCTTTCTGCAACTACTCTTGCAGTTACAACAGATCAGCTCATGATATGATTTTGATGTTTGTTGCAATTTCCTTACAGATGAAGAAAAAGACTGACAACAACAGAAATGTGGTACTACAGATGTATGTTGAGAATGCAATGGATGAAGAGCACATAAGCAATAAAGATGTCTTAAGGAAAACAGAAACAAAAAAAACAAACTTTTTTTTTTTCACAGTAAAGTTCACCCTGCACAACGCCCAGGGTCACTCAAGGTAGAGGATTACAATAAGAGGCAGTTTGTATGGATAGGAGAGAAAGGTAAACCTGAGCAATATAATCAAAAGGTTCACTTAGATGACAGTAGTTTCATTCTGGAGGCATTAAAATTATCAAGCTATTTCTTGTCCCAGTTAACAACAGAGATTTTTTTTTTCTGTAGATAGAGCTTCTTGCTTGGAGCAGATGCTGGTTGTGTTGAAAACATAAGAAATGCTTAATGTTCCCTGCATCATCTGGGATTTCCTTTGGTTTACTGCCATTATCAGTTGTGCATCTGTCACTATCTTCCATATTAGTCATGCTGCCTTCTTTTCATGTGTAGGAAAGTATGGAACTTTGGACGTACCTATGACGTCTTTGTTTGGAAACACGCAGTCATTTAACAGGTTATCAGGTAGCAAAAGATGTTACTAATTCTGGATGCTAGACACATTTCACATCCAGTTGGCCTACACACACACACACACACACACACACACACACACACACATGCAAGACCACAATATCAGTACCAACAATATGAGTATCTAGGGGGTGACCATACTTTACAGCAGAGTATACATGATGTAGTATATGATTATGACCTTTTTCATGGCTGCATGTGGTCAGGGCATGAAGATCCTGGAGTAGCTGTGTGATGAGAACCCTCTCCACCATTAGTGAAGAGATTTACTCCAAGAAGTTTTTAAGAAAGACTTTGGACAGGAAATTGAATAGTTCTTTCTGTTTCTTCCAATCCACAGAAAAACATGACAGGTTTCTGATAAGAATATTTTTCCAACCATATATTTCCCTACACATTTTACATGCTTGGCTCTTACAGTGCTTTTCAAGAAAACAACCTTGTAAGTATCCCAGCTGAGGTCTACATATAATACACTGTGCAACTGAGAAGAGATGTATATGATGAAGCCTTGCAGGAGGTATTCCTCAAATAACAACTGGCTTCTTCATTTGAGCATTCGTTATTGCATGTGTTTCCCATGTGATAGTAAAGTTTGGACAGTAAGGTTAATATTTTGAAAAGAAAAGCAAAACAAAAACTGATAGGGCCATAGGAAGGTATATTTGTGATAACCCAATATCCAGTTTTGTTGAAGGCAAATCTAGATATATCAACATATCTTTTTAAATTTGGTGCTTTTATCACAAAATAAACAAATGTTATATGTTGAAACATGCTGCGTTTGTTGGTTCAAATCTGAATAGGAATGACTGCAAAATACTTTCCACTCCCCAACTTAGAGACTGAAGCACACAAATGCATGCTGGGATTTCTTCCTAGCCAATAAAACAAGTCAATTGTCGGTTTCATTTGACTCATACTAGGTCTGTCTTGTTTTGAAGTCAGAATGCTATGTTTGCTTGTGAGAACTTGCTCATGTGTGTCAGCCTGAATTTTTAGCTTGTGAAATTTTTCCCATATTACTGTTGATTTGCTTTGCATATATTGTTTGCTTGCTTCATATTATTTTTTTCCTGTTCTTTTCCTTGTTATTTTTTTTTCTCAATTCTGTTTGTTGGACAGTTCTGTCATTTATTTTCACATTTAACCATGGTCACTCACTCTACAGTGTTGCTATATAAAGTTGCACTTAAAATTATATATATTTTTGACTGTTTCCAGTATCCAAGGATTGGAGAGGAAACAGATGTTATCTTCCCATATTCCAAGATAAGGTTTCTTGAATAACTAATATATCAATTATTATTCTATAGGACTCATCATTGTCACTTTGGCAGTGTTCTTTGTTGAGTTTTCTCAATAGATTCTTATTTGCAATTATTTAAGATTACTATACATGAGAACAAGAGCCTCTTAGATATAATGGTTCAGTCCCTAACACTATATTTGGCAAATAAACCTCAACTACTTTTGTTTGGGTTTCTGTTGAGAACAAAGTATAAAACATGAATAATGTTTTCATGGCAACAAAATCTTCATTGTATATTGCTTGTGATGCCACATGATACAAAGAAACCAAAGTTATAGTCAAATTGAAAGTTGACTAAAAAACTACCAGATAGGAAGTTATTTTCCAGTTTATTCAAGGTAAATATTAAAAACTATTAAAAAAATTTTGGGACAAGTGTCAGTTTAAACTTAGAAATCAGAAATTCTTACAAATGACATCTTTTTATTTAGAGAGAGGATGTTTGCTGTTAATACTTTGACTCAGCACTAAACTCATAGCACAGAAACAAGGTCATTATATTGATCTTTTCAAAGAATTCTCTGCAAATTTTGATCAAGTTTCATAAAGACAATATTTAACATTCCTTTATCAGTACAGTAAATAAAGATAGTATTTTACTTACCTGCAACTTTGGAACATGTTTTTCCATCATATCGAATCTGATGAGTAGGAAAAGTAACATCTATAAAAAAGAAAAGAGACATATGTTAAACCATTGAAAGGAAAATGATTTTATAGGTAAGAAAACAATGACATGTCTAAATTGAATAATATATTAAGTAACAACCTTTGCTTTCAGGGTATATATTATTTTCAGTGCAGTAATATCCTACTCCACAAAACTTGTTGAAAATTATCATTTCTATCACAGGGATTGCATAAGAATTCGATCTTTCTCTTTTTGAGAACTATGATGTTTTGTCTTGAGCAGAAAATTGTATAGAACTCCTATATCTGTTCCACTTGACAAGAATGTTGATAAGATAGCTGTGTCTAATATAATTATTTACCAACTAATATCTCTTAAAATCAAGATTCCACACTACTTCAAACAAAAGGTTAGGAAGGAAATCCCCATTCAATACTGGAAATAGCAATAATATTGGACTTGAGAAACCTATTTTCCTGAAACACTTGTTTTCATTATCTTCCCCTCTTATCCATATAAACTACCCCTTATTACAACCTTCTACCTCGTGGTCCCCAGGCCTTGTACAGGGTGAACCATACTGAGAAAAAAAAATTCAACCAAGAGCGGCACTGGCCTATGCACAAAAATAGCACAAGTATAACACATGTAACTTGAAGAAGAAAAGAAACTGACTATCAAGAGGTTGATGTTTCACACCACTTCAAACAAAAGGTTAGGAAGGAAACCCCCCCCCCATCAATACTGGGAAGAAACAATAACTGTTAGTGAACTTGAGAAGCCTACTTTTCTGAAAATCAGTTTTAGGAGAAAGATTTTATGAATTTAAACTGAGAGTGGCACTGGCTGCTCAGTTAATGGATAACTAAGGTTTCCTTATAAGGAAACTTCTAATATTATCATTACTACATCTGTCTATATTTCTGAGAAGAAGTATTGTAACTATTTACACTATTTACATTGTTTAAACTGTTGTCCTCATCTTTATTGTCATATTCACAACGTTTTGGCCATTGTATATTCAACAACAAAAAATTGTAATATTAGCTCTAGTAAAAAAAAAAAAAAAAAACAGTTACTGAGACATTGAATTTATAAGTTCAAAAAATTAATTCACAAGTGTTGAGTGAAGTAACCCAGTGACTTGATCCAAAAAATTGTGAGTTCAATACCTGGCCACAGTAGAGGTGAACAAAAACTTGGGGAGTTGAGTTACTAAAGGGAAAGAACTGAAATCGAGATATCCAGAAAAGGCATGGCATGTTGAATGAGAATAATCTATCCCAGTGGAATAAAATAAAGGGTTCAGCTTGAAATTCCAATGTACATCACCTGAAGAAGGCCAGAGTGTACAATAGCTGAAACATTGTGAATATGGCAATAAAGATGAGGACAACAATTCAAACAATTTAAATAGTGTAAATTAACATTACAATAATAAGCTCTATATTATGTTAATAAATTGGCCAATATGACCTGATTTCTAATAGAGTGAGAGCTGAAAGGACTGGTGAATGAGTGACCAGACTTTTACTAAGTTTAAACTTAATAGCAAACAAATATATAAATGTATAAACAACAATCTGTATGTACAGACTAGGACCATAGCTTCAATCTGCACAGATCAAAAATGCTGTTAAAAAGTCCCTTCAAGGGATGGCAGATCACTACAACTGGTTTGCTCATCTGCCAAGTAAGGGCTTAAACAGTAAAACTAAAATTATATAACCTTATTGTCATCAGCCAACATAGCTGAGCCACAACACATAAAACTCTGGGTAAAGGGTAAAGTTAGTAATACAGAAGCTACTTTCCACACTAGTACATCAGTATCATAGCTGAGAGGTCAGAATGTTAGAATTCCACTCATGAAACCTGGGTATGGACCTCACTATGATGAATTCATAAAGAAGATAACTTCTTGATAATATGATCCCAGCATGCAACACAATTGGAAAGTGGCTGAAAACCATACTTCAGATTGTCCCAAACATTAGTGAAACTAGCAAGATAAAGATAAAGCTGTTCACAATGCATTTGTTTTTGTGATAGGACAATGTTGTAGCCTTGTTAGAGACAGAAATAAAGACACAGGAATTGAGTTAAATATATTAACAGAAACAGTAATACAAACATATACAAACAAGAGTGTTACAACAAGAATGTTCAGTCCGACTGTCAGAGCTGACTGCTGGAAACTTCCCCTCCAAAAGGCAGTACTTGCTCCTATTTATAGCTGGAAGAGTCCATGTGTGGGTAGGTAAATTGCCATTACAGACAATAATGCAAGTCATTATAACTGACAATATTAACAATACAACCTGTGACATATTTTTTATTGCATGTTTGGAGTATTGTTTAGCTTAGGCAAATTATCTTTTCAAAATCAAAATGGTGGCACCCACTAGAAATCACCATTATTTGTTTCTGTTTTTCATAAAATGAGTCAGTGCAATTATGCAACAATGTTATAACAATGCAATCATTAATGTGTTAATGAACATGAAACAGGAAAACTAACTCCTCATAAATTTCAGATATGCTAATATTTCTTTTTCATACATTAGACACTTTGAGTTAATTCAGTTTTTTGAAACTCTAAACATCAGAATTTTTTATAACATTTAATGACTTATACTGCTGAAGAATATTCACACAAATTATAAGAACATTGCAAAAGTTTGTGCCTGATTTCCATCGTTAATATAAAATGACTGCAACTTGACACTGGTGTTTGCTTTGGAACTAATTTTTGGTGTGATCTAGATTGAAAACTCACATCATTCAGTTGTGAGTCAGAACTTTTTGAATGTTGATATTTTCTCCACAAATTAATGCCTTAAAGATGGAGGATGAAAAGGCACACTTTCACCATATTATGCTCTGTGAATTTTGGAAAAGCGTAAGCATTGGAGTTGTGATAAAAAAAACATTCAGAAAGTTTATTTAGATCATGCTTCAACTCTTTGAATGATCAAAAAGTGGTTTGACAGATTGCAGCAGAGTGATTTTAACCTAAACAATCAAGTTGGGGTCAAACAAGCAGTTGGGGCCAGTTGAGAAAGAGGGATATCTATCAAGCTAAATATTATTCTCTGTTAGGTCTTTATCTGAGAGAAGAAATATCTATATTGTATCTTTGTGGATGTTACAAGGATTTATCATGCAATCTTGAAAGATACATGCCAGCACTGAATGGCAGAATGAAGGAAATAGAATACTATGGCAACACAATTCAAAGTCCAAAAATAATGGCTCTTCCAGAATGAGAAAGAGAACAGCAGCTGAGGTCCAAAAGAGTTCTTCAAAACAAAACAAAGGTCCAATGGTATATGGAGGCAATGTGGGAATTATTACTGTGTGAACCTTCTTTTAGAAGTGAAAACTGACACTATTGTTAGTCAAGTCCATTTTCAATCAGAAGCTTGCATATACATGTTTCTGTTAAAAATATGTATAAAAGATAAGTAAGAATGATTAAATGTGTAAGTAAAACACAAGCTTATAGATGTTATTAGAGAAACACTAGCTTGACAAGTAGAAAATTTTGTTAACTTTTCAGGTAGTCTGAAATATCCTATAAATATTTAATATTTACTGATATTTGATTATTTAACATTATATATCTCTTATAAAACATAGCCAAAAAATTTCTCATAGGAGAGAACATACTGATGGCAAGAGGGATGATGGAAAACAGCAAATAACCTACCAAATAAGTTTGTGTAAATGGATAGCAGAACAGATCTGGGGAAAACAGTAAGAAAAACAAACACTGCTAACAGCTAAAAAGGATAGAAAGTTGTGGAGAGCCATTATCATCCATGTCCTGGAGGGACATGGCATATAGAAGAAGAAGTATAAAGAATATAATTTACGATCTTACCCCTCTGTCAGAGATATTTTTCTTGCAAATATTTTAAAACTGCAACTAAACATTTAGATTATCTAATGAAATGCAAGCAAAATCTAGAAATAGGTAGTGTGTCATCAGATAATATATAAAAAATTCAACACACTTTCAGCAGTTGTTTAATATTTATGCTATGTTGTTGATACGATGTCACATGCCAAGAGATGAAAGAATAAAAACTGTCACATAGTGGCAACTGAGGTAAGACATTTGAAGATGGCCTCATAAAATATAATTGTAGGGAAACTGCCTTAGGGTTCCTTGTTTGTGCTTCTTTGGTGCAAGCTGTGGTTGAATTATTACATGTTTATATTTTTTGCCCTGGAAAAGTTGTGGCTGAACTATCTGTCAGCATTTGTATTTATTCACTTAGTGGAAGTTGGAAGTTTATTAGTGTTTGCCTTTTACTGACAATTTTTCACTATTGGTTATTTGTGCCACATCAGTCATTGAGTTTTTATTTTTTTAAAATGTCTGTTTTGCTACTTTAGAATGATATCTTTTGCTTTAAAATTGATACCTGAACTCAGCATCTAAAATGGAATTGAATGAAAAGAAAGGGGCGAACGTCTGCAATATAAAGAAATTTGAGATAGTCATTCCGCTGTCTCTCTGCTGAAGCCTTTGCTTTTTTTACAGTAAGGTTCATGTTGTACAAGGCCCTGGGACCACTCAAGATAGAGGGTTAGTTTATATGAATAGGTGTGGAAGATAACGGTTAACTCTAGACTTGAACAGTTCAAGAATGTAGTGATCAGGAAACATCCTCTTGGGAGTCAGGGTGATGATTCATTGGAAGAAGTTGCTGTAATACAGAGGGAATGTGGGTGGTTTGCAATTATGTAAGTAGCATGGTGGATTCTAGACATGAAGGATAGACTTGGTGGAACCAAGGTATATAATTTGTCCAAGCATTTTCCATTAAAGTAGTGGCTGTATAGTAATGGTAGAATCGATCATTCACATACAATAAAAAACATGGCCTTCATTGATCGAAAAGATAGTGTATGCATCCACTAAATTATTAGAGTTTCTACTGTTAATGGTAGTTTCTTTCCAAATATTTTGTTTTTGTTAGTGGGGAAAGTTAACAGCTTAGTTATGTTATTGTTTTCTGATCTGAGGAAGCTATTTGAAAACATGACTCTAGTTTACAGATCAATGTTTTGGTTTTGTAACATCTTACATTAAAGTGTTTGAATTGATTAGAACTTAGTACTTCCATATTTTGATTTTTTATGATGGCTAAATGAGTCAAAGGAGAAAGAAATATAACACCTGAGGGAAACTTGTGGAGCATTTTTCAGGTGCAAGATCATAATTAATGGCTGTCAAGTAATGCTTGCTACTATTAAGCAAGAAATCTATTTCCTATCTGTACCAGGTGGAAAAAAAGGGTACTTATACATACAATCAAAAAGAAACAGTTAAAATTTCTGGGATATAATAAGGAAGGAGGACTTTAACATTTACAAAATAGTGAAGGCAAAAGAAACATAAGAAAACAGTGAAGAACCCACCTAACAAGGTTACATAAATAGATGATAGAGGAGGAACGGTAAAGGGATAAATGTTGCTTACAGCCTCAAAGGACAGCAAGCTGTGGATAGATATGATCATTCATGTCCTCAAGTGCTGGAAATCTCAATTCAACAGTCTTTATTTTTGCAGAACTTTGCATATATCATGCACCAATTTGAGTTTATATGCATTGAAAAAAGCCCAACAAATCAAGATCTTTGAAGATAATGACATTAAAGGTAAATAAAGAGGAGTGGACATTTTGACATGTTTTCTGTCGACATATGAACAACTGGGAAAGAAAAAGTAGAAAAGAATTACAGGAATAGCAAGAGAGCTGCTGTGAAGAAGCAGTTTTCTATTTTCTTGAGTTTGTGTACTTACACAAGTTAACACCATAGGATGATACCTCACTTTCAGCTGTACCTACATTTGAGATCCACCCACAATTTCAGTTGAAAGGCATTAATATAATATCTTTATTGGGACATGAGATTAGTCATGATGTGTATAAGGTGGGAGATGCTGTCTGGGTAAAAATGCCTCAAACTTTTTGCATATTGGAGTCTGGATTGGGAAAGGTCATTGGGATCACCAACACACAATCCATCAAAGCTCCACATTTTCTTAAAAGTATTCAATCCTCACCAGATATGTCAGGTAGTCATCAAAAAATGCCTCTGCAGTAGGTGAGGAGGAGGCCATTCTGCTAGACTTTGCAACATTACATAAATCTCCGGAAGTACAAGTGATGTAGTTGGTGATCAGTGAGATCTTGAGGTGGGATAAGTGTTCCATGTCGCACTCCTCACACCAATGAGGGTGCACTAGACAGGGAAAACCACTTTCTCTTTTTGTTCTGATCATGGGTCAAAACAGTGTGTCAGCAGTACTGCTTCATCTACCAAGAGAAAAAGAATGATAATGGCAACATTTAGAGCCAAGGGCATTTCACATTTGCTTCTCTTGATATGTAAACTGTGCTTCTTTGCTTAGTGGGATTTGCAATCAAGCTATTTTTCAGCATTAAGATGTGGGCATAACATAGTGGTTATCAGTGTGCTGCGTTCATTTCTTTTACATCAAAACCCCTTGGCAAATGTATAAATCCATTTCTTCTCTCTTCAGCTGAGGGTTAAACTGATTGGGCATGGGTCTGGGAAATCTACCTGATAATAACCTAATCTCTACGGAAACCACAACAGTAATACCTAGTGTAGTGATGCTATATTTTTATACACCACAAGAGAATTTAATGTCACTAAAGCGGTAGGAGGAGTTATCAAAATTAATCTTTTGTGGACAATCTAGTCATGCTGGACTTTTCGGCTTTTTTGTTCAATAAATTTTGTTTGAAAAACTTATTTTTTATTGGACCCAGTTTCTTACACATACCTAAAATTATTAAAAGTATGAATAAGCAAATTCAGATTTTATATGTCTCAGTACCAATTCAGTGATTTTCTCACAATTACTAATGAGGTATTAAATCTATATGAAATTTTAATATAAATTTTAAAATAAAAAACGAATGCTGAACTTCTGTATATCTCAAGGGACTTAGCACATGACAGAAGAGCTTGTGGCCACATCACGTTAAAGCACGGGTTCCTGTACAACCACCAAAATTAAGCAACATTGAGTTTGGTCAGTAAGTAGATAGATGATTGCTTGGATATGCAACTGGTGCAATAGCTAATGGCTTGGAATTGTTAATCAAAGAGCCAAGTTCCAATTCCAGTTGGAAAATGTATGAATCCATCTTTTATCCCCCCTGCTATGGGTTAATCAGTAAGACATATCACTAAATCATGATCTAAAAAAATATATTTTTGGCTTTAAAGGGTTGATAAGCCATAAAAAATAAATCAATCAAATCACATAAAAGAAGCATATAATAATCATTAAAGGTAAACTGCTAATCAACTGTAGAGGATTATCAATAGAAAAAAAAAACTTTTGAGTATTATTATTTTGGTCAGAAAATTTAATTGAAGAGTCAACTGAATAAATAAATATTTTCTTAGTCTAGGATAAAATGAAGAAATCAGAAATAATGATTAACTACTTGGCAATAAATATCTTTGAGGGATAAGAGTTTTATAAATTCTGATGGCATTATCTATTCCTTCTTATTCTAGAAGCATGACTTCACAACTTCTTATTCTTTGTAGCACTGAGAAAACTTTTCCCCCATCCCTCCTATTCCATTTTCTGCTAACCATTTCAACAAGCTTCTTAGGTAGATTACACACTGTTTCCATCTGTCCCTTTTGCTTTCTATATGTCTTATGAGTGTCCAGTTCTCTAATCGCCTTCCCCATTATGAGTACTAGAAATTTTAGTTGGCTCTTTTTCTATTTTCTTTAAAACTCCTCATATATTTTGTCCATGATATTCTCAGCATCTTTCTGTAGAACCACATTTCTATTGCCTCAAGTGTTTATCTATGAAGAAATTGTCCAGCATTCACGAGGAGGACTGATATTACGGAATAGTTCAGTCGTTTTTTTTATTAGGTTCGAATGAAATTTTCCTGTTTCTTAATACTTTCTTAGCTTTTGGAAGGCACCTTTCCCTATTTCAATGTGTTTTCACTGTTAGAGAATGTGACACTGAAATCCAAAGGTACATTAAGAGATGATTGCCTTTTATTTTGGCTAAAATCACTGAATAACTTCTTAAAGTATTTTATTTTTGTTTGTCAATAAGCTGGGTCAATTCTGTGTCACTATTAATTAACAAGAAGGTGAACTTTGATAAGTAAATAACAAAATATCTTTTGATCTCATATACAAGTATAAAGTAATCATTTTTTTTTTAAATTATAAGCATCAGTTGAGATTCAAATGAGACTGGACATGACCCTTACACTGGAAAACACAATAAAATAGTCATCTGATAACTGTGTATCAAAAAACCATTGTGAAACATGTTTAAAAAATTATATTTCTTCTTACCAATACATTTTCTGTTTTGAGCGGCTCTACATGGAGTAATTTCATATTCTGTTCCCTTACACACATCACAGGCTGAAATTAAATAAAGATGTGAAAGGTCAGTTAGAAAACAATACAAGTAATATAAATTTAAGTACTACCATTACTGCATATATATATATATATATATATATATATATATATGAAGAAATATAGTTTTAAGGTGTGCTATATTTATGGGATAAAGTGTTCAATATCAGAGATAGAGTATATGTAAATATAAATATAAAAGTGAACATTGAAGTCAATACTCAGAGGCAACAGGTTGTTTCATGATGGATGCAAACATCATTGGCCTGACGACTGCGTCCAGCATGAAACAGCCTGTTGCCTCTGAGTGTTGACTTCAATATTCTTATATATATATATATATTATATATATATATATATATATATATATATATATATATATATATATATATATATATATATATATATATATATATATATATATATATATATATATATATATATATATATATATACATTATATATATATTTGGTTGGATAGATGTGAGTTTGTGACCCTAGGTTTCATGTTTTAGCGAATCGTCAGACAAACTGATTAATGTTTTTAAAAATTGGGTTTATGTAGATTATGTGTATATATATATATATATATATATATATATATATATATATATATATATATATATATATATATATATATATATATATATATATATATATATATATATATATATATATATATATATATATATATATATATATATATATATATATATATATATATATATATATATATATATATATATATATATATATGTATATATATATATATATGCATTATATATATATATACCTACCTATCATCATAGTAATTAAGGATTTCTAATTAACAGTTAGCTATTTCAGCATTTTTATTTTTACTGATTTCATTCCTGAAGCAATTTATTTATTGAAATTTCTGCATATTTATTATAGTAATGTTCACCCAATACAAGGCTCGAGATTAAGTTAGGATAGAGGGTTACTGATGGAATGTTAATTCTGAATGAAGTTTGTGATATGTATGAAAGATGAAGTAGTAGAAAATGAAGATAAGGAGGATAGATAACAGTTGACCCTTCATTTTGAGAGGTGGAAGCATCGACAAGAGTCTCTTTCTTGAGAAAAAGCCATCTTGAATGGTACTTTTTCTACATATTATATTATTATATATGTCACCCTCATTTCCATCATGTAGAGCTGGCTATTATGATAAAATATAAAAGGGATAGATATTAATAATGATATATAATCATTTTTTATGGTGGGGTTCCCTGAGACATGAAAACTATTTCAAAGTTTCCACGAGGGTAAAAAGTTGAGAAAAACTGATCTAGAGAATGAAATGAGAACATTGTTGAAATGATTGTCTAGAGGATGAAAACCACAATTGTAGGAAACCAATATTCTGTGAACACTCTGAAGATGATGTAAACAAACATTGAAATATTAATAAAATCATTCACATCTCTGGTTTGGTGAACTTATTTTCTTCCTTTATACTTTAAAAGTAACTGAAAAACTTGGTTTCTTTTGATGTAACTTTTGTTTTTGCTTAATAAATAATTCAGTAATTTTTATTCAAAATTTTATACTTGAGGTATTTATATCATCTTCACAGTTCAATTATAGGGAATAACATATTTCGAGTAAAACAGTGTAAGGTGAGAGTGAAATAAATTTAGAGATGTATAAAGAGTTACTTACCTCTACATACAACGTCTCTAGCTGTCGAACAAGGCTTCACCATATAGTATCCTTGTGGGCAAGATGTCCGACAGACTGCAAAGAAAGATGATTTGAAAATAGTAGTTTCTGTTAAAATAATAATAATTCTTTGCACAAAGAGTAGATGGGGATCTAGAAAGGTGAAATTTTGAGCTTTGACAGTATCAAAGAACCAGCATAAGGATAAAAACCATGACAAGTTAAAAGAAAAGAAACTTCATCAGCAAGTGGTGTGGTTTCTGTTATCTGGTATAGTTCTGTATTTGTGATTCGGTAGTGCCAATGTTCAAAGGAGAATGGTCTTTCACAAGCTTCATTCGCTCAAAGTCATTTTTTTCCTTTGATTTGAGAAAGTGGTTTTATACATCTGACAGTTTAGATATTTCTGAACTGGTTTGGCACCATGCATAACATCCATATGAAAATCTCAATCTGACAAGGATATTTAAGAACATGACTTGAGTTTTCAGGTTAATGTTAAATATAGCAATTTGTGGTGTTGGGCAAATCTTCCTCTAGCATAGCCTATTGTATGTTCAATTTTGTTTTCTCCATTACTAAATTTGTTATAACTGAGCCATACAGAGAGATGTTAAAGAGTAAAGAATTAAAATAACAAAAAGTGGGTCATGATTACCTATGGCTAGATATAACGGTAAATTCTATGATGACTGTTTCTTCGATAGCATTTTTTGCTTTTGGAATTCTCTTGTAGCTTCTTGCTTTACAGTCAATTTTGATCTTCAAAAATTGAAATGCAATATCAATGGTTATCTTCTATCTTCTTAATTTCTCTTCTTTTATTGTTCTTGATCCTTCATGTTTTTCTTATATTCTTTCATGCTTAGTAACTCACTGTGTCTTAGTAGCTTTGTTGCCTAGCTTGGGGTGATATGATTAAAAAACATTTCCTGAAGAATATAGCACATAAAAGCAGAAGACTACTTAGTTGCTTTCATTGTCTAGTTTACCAGAGGGAAACTTTAGATATCTTAACACTCTCTCCAGTTGTAGATACAAATCACACTAGATGCAATTACTATGCTTGTTATTATGAGATATAATCTATATTGATAATGTTTGTAATTACCAGGGATAGAACTAATTATTTAGTTTTCTCATACATTCCTTGGTCATATTCGTAAGTATGGTACTTAGTAGTTTATGGTAGACACCTGTGAATCAGTTTAGGATTTAAATAAGTGAAAAACAATTTTATATAAGTGTTGAATAGAAAGAAGTGAGTTGAAGAAATGGAGGAGGGAAAATGACAAGTTATTGGAGACAAAGAGAAAGAAGATAGGTGAGCAATCAGGTAAAAGAGAAAGAAATAGAATAACAGGAGGAAAAGAAAGAAAGGAAATAAATATGTAAAGACAAGGGTCAGAAATCAGAGAGTAAAAAAAAAAAATAAAGATGTAAGACAAAGAGAGGAATCAAAGAGAAAGAGTAAAGAGGAGAGAGAATAAAGAGAAAGTATGAAAGAGAGAAGGGGAGAGGGAAACAGAATGAAAGAAAAAAGATGATAAAGAAGAGAAAAGAGGATAAAAGAAAGTAGTTGATCAGTTATTGGCTGAGAATTGCAAAAGAATTGTCGTTGAAGATTTGGTCATGAGATGATCGATAAATAAGAATTGGTGGAGGAGGAGGAGTATAGGCGAGTGAGGATTTGGGGTGTTGGTGGTTGGAAAGGTTGGAAGGGTAGTGATAGTGATGCTGGTTGTCGGTTAAATGCAGGAAGTGCACTGGAAGGCAGACAATTGGGATTGATTGAAGACACTGTCCCTGATCCCACTTCTTACAAGATACTTATCTTGTTTACGTACATCTTTCATAGGATGATGACGACTGACGTGGAAGTAGGGAAGGTGGAGTAAAGAGAAAATCAGGAAAATCAAGAAGGAAGGAAGAAAGAGCTGGAAATATGAAAGTATTCTATAAAAGGTGGTAAGAAAAGAAGAAAGATTATTAATCAGAGGAAACAGACATTTGGAGGGAAGGAAAAAGATTTTTTTTTAAATAAGTAGGAGAAAGAAAATAGTTTGAGAAAAAAATATGAGAAAATATATATAATAAGTAAAAGAAAAGGAAGACACAGCAGAAGACAGACTTGGTTGAAGGAAAAGAGAGATGAATGAGAAGGAAAAGGGGGAAAATGGTCAGAAGTTATAAACAGAGAGAAGAAGAATCAGAAAGAAATAGAAAACAAGAGAGGATAAGATGGAAAAGAAAAAGAACAAGAACAGAGAAAAGTATGACAAATAGTCAAAGAGAATAAAGGGTAAAAAGAAAGAAAGAAATAGAAGCTACAGCAAGAGAGATGAAATAGAAGGATATAGTGTGAAAGAGAGGAAAATACGAGGAGCATCCATGCAGAGAAATGGTTGAAAGTAATAGAGAGGGATGTAGTAAAAAAAAAAGAGAGGGAAAATAAGAGAAGAGTTAAAGACAAATAAAAGAGAGAGGGAATGAAAAAAGAGGAATATATGAAAGAAAGAGTACAAAAGCATTGCGAGAGAATAGAAGAAAAAGGAAAATGATGGAGTGATGACGTTGAAAAAAAGATGGAAATAAAAAAAAAACATAAAAAGAAAGCAAAAAAACAAATAAAAAAAAGAATAATGGAAGCATTCCAAAAGAAGAGGGAGTAAAAACCAGAGAGAAAAAAAAAAGAATGAGTAATGAGAAGGAATGGAAGTTTGTAAGAGAAAGAGTGAAAAAGAGATAAAGGTTTGGAAATTGAGAATGAATCTGTAACTGGGGAAGACAAAAAGGATATAAAAATAATAATAGGAAACAAATTATTTCTTACAGACTTCTTGTTAGACTTGCCATCTTCATTTTAGATTTACATCTTTTCTTCATTTACTGCATATATTTATTCTATATAATGCGATCAGAAATGGGGCAGATTCATACACTGATGCAACTCAGTTTAGCCAATCATAATAAAACTGTATACATGATGGTATCAAAATTAAACAGAAATTTCAAAGTTATTAAGACGATCTCTATAACTTCAGGATTAAGAACTAAAGTTTTTATATATTTATTAAAAGAATTTATGTATATGTATGTATAAAACACACCAGCATACTTATATCTATCTATCTATCTATATATATATATATATATATATATATAAATGAATCATTACTGGATAATTGCTGAGAAGAATTTTATTATGTAAGATGCCAAGGCAATAATGCCACTAACAGACAAGTAGTGACTGGAAGTGAAAGAGAATGAAAACACTTTAGAAGGAACTAGAAACCCAATCATGAATAGAGAACAAGAGATAAAACTCGACTCCTGTTCAAAAGACCGGGAAGGAATATGAAATGGATGATAAACAAACCTATCTACTACTGATAATAAAAATAGTATTAACCAACTTTTCAGGATATATTTATATGATAAATATACTAATATTTATATGCAGACTATTGTCATCTTTTTTTTTATTATCACAACTTTTCCACTGCAGTGCTCTTCAGCCCTCAACTGGTGCCTGTCAATTTGTGTAATCTTCAAAGAATTTTTCAAATTGAACCTTTTATTTAATCTACAAGGATAGATTGTTCTCCTTCCACTGATCATGTCAAAAGATATTACATCTACTTCTACTTTAGTATGACTCAGCTATTGCTCATACCAATTCCACTGAGCACACACTGCCTGGATCAACAATTGAACTCACAATCACTATGTCACCTAATTCATGAACTAGTGCTTTAATTCATTAGGCTTGTGGTTCCCCAAAATTTTTTCTTGGCTGCATTTTCCAAATTAAAATTTGCTCACACATCACCAATAGGAAGTCCCAGTGAAAATGCACAAGCAACTCTATGACAAAGAAGGTCCAGAGAGAGAGAGAGTTAAAGGGAGATAACTCTGGAATTGAAGACAGAACATTATCATTGATAACTCTCTCCTCCAATTTGCAGACTGTAGTTACTATATTCTTAATACTCAATATAGTGCAAAAATATCGCAATGATAAAATCAGTCAATTATTTATGACTATTTATACTGGGACTCACGCATGCAAGTACAAGTAATACATAATAATACTGAATATGAAATTTTGTAACTGTTTCTTAATCTTTGATTGTCTTTCAATCATTTCACTTCACCTGCTATGCTCTTCTGCCACACCTATGATGCATGTTGCATCATTTGGGAAACACTGCACAAGGTGATCATCCAATTGGACAGAAATTCAGCTAGAAATGATAAATATGCCTTGTGAATTTCAGCTTACACTGTTTTATTGGAAATATTTACAATAACTTATTTGGTGGTGTGAGATTTTATTATGCAACTGGTAGGTTTTCATCATCTTATAGATAAATATGTAATAGTGTAATTTCTCATGACTATTTTTGAATTTCAGATATAGTAAACAAATAAAAAGTTTAAAAAAATCATCTTCCCAACTTCAAGTTTTGCAGATATAATTTATTAATCAATGGGTTAAAAGGTGCATTTAAATTTATTAAAATATTATAATTATTATTATTATATGAACATAGTATCTATAAACAAAAAGAAAATGATGGAAAAAGCATTGCCAGTGAGACATGCTGCAAGAGCCACTCCATTTCGCTAGTCTCATCTCTTAATCGAGATGCCATCGCACCAACCCTCCAAAGGAATGCCATAGAATAAATGTCAATAACCCCAAAAGTTTCCACTGCCACAGGAGTAAAAAAAATCTGTCCACAAGAGATTTAACTATTTTTTTTTTAATCTCTGCGTCCCGAGTGACAGACCCTGGCTCAACTGTGGACCTGATAAAATTACCAGTCAAAAATGTATTGGAACAGGCCGCATACCAAATCAATGACTTACCTATTTTAAAAGGGAGAATGGTAATGCCATCGGGCCACTTTCCATCACCATGGTCAAAGCCTATGGGTTTGATTTAGGAAGGGAACCCAGCTGCATCCAGTCCTCTTCAGATGATGTCGTTTATTGCTACATGCCTTGGAAAGCGGTCTGCACTACGACAACAGGAGAGAGGATGCAAACCAAACTCATCAATGGAAGCTCCACATCTGCATTTGTGATGCTCACATAATTTGAGCGACTCCAACTTAAGTGCGCTCATAAACTAGAAGGGTACAAGTAGATGAAGAGGGGACTGTGGGTCAGGCACCACTACTCAGTTGTGAAGCAGATAGTATTATTAATTTCAGATATATAAAGATTGCCATTAACCATAAGAAATAGAAACAGGATATTGTAAAGTTATTGAGGGAAAGGAACATAATGTTGGAAATTCTGAATATGTTGAACAAGGTTAGCAGAACAATCTAAAAAAAAATGACTTGAAGAATATTATAAAAACGATCTCTGAGAAAAATGAAAAAGATAATAAATAAGTGGATGGACCACTAAGAAGAAACAGGAAAAAGTCGCTGACAAGAATTTAAACAAAAAACAGATGTAGAATATTAAGAACATTGGCTAAATACATGAAACTTGAAGTATAAATCCCAAAGAGAAATGTATGTGTAAATGAAAACTGATTTCTTGAAATTAATTTTTAGTGATGACTTTAAAGCTACATTTGATGGGCCTGATGATAAGATTTGAAGTTGGCTTCCTTCATGGAAATAGAAGAGAGTTGGAGTAATGTTCTGGGCTAGTAGAGTAAGCAGTAAATAATAATAATATATATATATATATATATATATATATATATATATATATATATATATATATAAGGGTTATGATTTTTTGGAAATTAATTGGTTTCCTGTATCATAATTTGATGAATTGTTGTTAAAAAATAATGAACAAAAGTTTAAATAAGTGTATTAGTACTATACCATTCTAGATCTTGTTTATTTTGTATGTCATGCTATAGCTATAAACTGTTAAATGCATTAACAAATACATAAGTACTATCTGATTACATAGTTAGCAAATTGAAAAATGAAACATCAGAAATATTTTGATTTTTTTTTACCCTAATTGCATACATGGTAAAATCAAATTTTTGGGTTCAGGGTGAGCTTTTTCAAGAACTAAAACAAATTAATATCTTTCTGATTACCTTTGAATAAATGTTGTTCAATTTATGATAGAAGAACATAGGGATTACAAAAAGTAATAAAACTTTTATATATATATATATATATATATATATATATATATATATATATATATATATATATATATATATATATATATATATATATATATATATATATATATATATATATAATATATATATATATATATATATATATATATATATATATATATATATATATATATATATATATGTGTGTGTGTGTGTGTGTGTGTCTGTGCGATGGGTAAATTGTTGCCATTTTATATTTTTAATTTCATGGATATGTGTTGTTTGTTTTTGATTTTGTAATTTGGGCACTGTCTGTAAGAAAAAGAGCATCAAGACACAATTTACTCCACCAGAAATTTGGAAATGGCATGCTGTACTGCTTGGCATTCATACCAACAGCCCCAAAATGAACATTTCAGAGTGTTTGGGTATCAATCTGAGGACAGTGCAGAGGATTCAGAAAGAGTCGGATCAGTTTAATGGTTATTACAAAGGTACAGCAGCTCAGAAAACTCACTCTGATCATTCTGATAAGAACTCTCAAATTTGTTGGTGAGGGCCTCAGTTTCAACACAGAGGCCTATATCAAATCCTTTGAAGAGGGTGACTGCTGGAACTCCCTTTATCTGGCAACAGGACTCTGCACCATGCCACACTAGCAGGTGAATCCAATCATAGCTGTCTGACAATTTCTGCGACTACATCACCCTTTACATCTGGTCACCTAACTCCCCAGGCTGCAACCCCCTTGATTACTATGTGTGGGGAATAGTTGAGCAAGAGACTAACAAAACTCCTTGTAAAACCAAAGATGAACTGCAGGCAAGCATTATGGCAGCATTCATCAACTTAATCAAGGAGACCATCCAGAAAAGATGCAGAAGATTCTGAAGTCACCTGGATGCTGTGATTTAAGCAAATGGCAATTTTATTGAATAAATTTACTCTTTAGTATTTCAAGATATTTTTGTGTATTTTGGTAAATATATCTGTTAAAATGATATGTCAGTATTATCTTCATTTTTGTAATTTAGACGACAATTTATCCACTGTATGTATATATATATATATATATATATATATATATATATATATATATATAAGGCTGAGTTTAAAAAAAAATTGTCCTATTTTTAGCCAATTGTTTTATTAACTCAATCAAAGATCATTCTCTATAGATGCTTCTCATGTTTCAAACAGTGATCATTTACTTATTTCGTGAAGGCACACTCATTTTATATCTGTTGGTATAAATGTTATTCTATTATATATATATATATATATATATATATATATATATATATATATATATGAAGAAATATAGTCTTAAGGTGTGCTATATATATATATATAGGAAGGGAGATATAAAAATGCAAATGTTGGCTATAATTATGCACTGATGAGAAAACTGAAGATGTAATGCTGAAATTTTAAATTAAAAAAAAATTATTATGAGCTTGTAGTCTAGTCGATTTCATTCAGTTTCCTTATAATTTTTATTATATTATAGAAATAAAAGCATTAACTGCATGCACAGTCACACCTAAAAAAATTAAATTTAAAAATTTCAGCATTCCAACATCTGTGTTTCTTATTGATATATAGATATAGTGATAGCAAAAAGTACCTAAAATGATTGTGATCATCTAAAAGCAAAAAGAATAAGTAAAAGAATATTATGAAATAATTACTAATCATCAAACAAAATACTTCACCTTAGAAATTTAAAGAAGTTATTTATTAATTAGTTATTATTATTGGTGATTATATATATATATATATATATATATATATATATATATATATATATATATAAGAATGTTTAGTAATAGAAAATTTTAATAGTGAGATGCAATAAAGTAAGTCTTGAAACAATGTATTGAGATTCAATAAAGCAGAGATAAAGGAATTCACAACAAAAATAGAGGCCAATGAACTGTTTAATTAATCAATTCCCCTTATATATTTTAGACATTCAATGGTACCTATAATTCAGCGATTACTCCTTTTTTTATCTATCTTTCCATGTTAAAAATTTTATGTGTGCAATTCTCTTGGAAAAAAAAAGAATGACAAAGATATTCATGACAAAGCCTATTTCAAGATCAAGTTGAAGTAAGATAAGCACTTAATAGACAGTGGTATCTCAGTGCCTCACATAAAAAACTATAACAAATATGACTGTAATTTAAGAAACATAGGAGTAAATGAACTGGTTAATTAAATGGTTCATTTTTTTCAGGAACTAATTTTGACTAAATGCAGATAAATATTTTATTTGTATAGATTATTAAAAGGACTAAGGGAAGTAATCACTCATAAATCTACTACTGATTTACCTCCCTTCCCACTACAGATGGGACAGGAAATATATAAATAAATACATATTGATAATTATTATATGGTTTGATTTTATTTTAACACCATACTACTTCAGAATATAGGTGATCATGACTCTTTACATGATCTTTTTCTTTATTATCTGTGAATTGCCATAACTTCTTGGGAAAAGTAATGTAATGGTTTCCCAATGAATTCTCCACAGTTTTAAATTAAGAATTGTTCTTCTCTCAGACTGGTTGACTCTCATGTTTAGATACCCTGAAGTTTAATCCATAGCTGTGGAGAGAAGAGATAAATTCATGTATTTCTGAAAGGCAACAGTGCAAAAGTGAGCCTAACAGACTAGGTAGGAATTTGAACTCTGCTTGCTGATTCTGCTTTCTATGTCAATAACCATCAAGCTACCCATTCATCCAATTATATATATATATATATATATATATATATATATATATATATATATATATTAGTTCTAGAGTTAATTGTGGTTGTTTTGCTTTGGGGCTGTTTTAAAAAATTACTGAAACACTTAATACTTGATCCAAAAATCAAATGTATTATGCTCCTTTTATTGACTGTACTAGTTAAACAAAAAGTAATGGCAGTGTCCACTGATGAGTCAGATATCTGGTCATAAACAAGACCAGGATTTATTGGTTTTTTCCTGATGTATTTAGACAGGTATTTTTCAATGTTGAAATATGTTTTTGTGTGGATTAGGAGAACAAATAATGGTTTCTGTCAAGGAACAAGTTGGCTGCTAGTTTCTCTGAGCCATGGAACAGCAGTCTGATGTTCTTTTGGTTGTTGAAAATTGGTGTTAACTTCAGATTAGAACAGCCAATTAATTTTAATTTGATCTTTGTGATGTTTTATTTCTTTGTTTAATACTTTAGTTGATTGGTGACTGTAAGAAGTTTAGTTTATTCCCTTAAGTTTTTGTTTCATTTTGAATTCTTAGTGTTAATTTAGGGCATGAACATGAGATACTGAGTCATTTCCCACATTGGTTAATATATCAAGGGTTGAAGCAGATGACTAAGGATCAGTTATGATAGAAAAGTGACCACCTGGATCACTGAAGTGTGAATGCTGGACTCTTGATTTCTTGGATTACAGAAAGGTTTGTTGCTAATTAAATATGACTTCACTAGAAGTAAGTTGGTTACTAAAATGTTTACAGTTGGGAGTTGTGCATGTGTGTCTTCATGGTTCAGTGAGGGTTTTTTTATTACCTAGAAGGATTGTTCTAGTGATACAAACAACTGGTTTGATCGGAGGTCAGACATGGGACTCTGAATTCAAACATGATTTAGTGGAGTGACACAAGAAACTGTGTTCAGTCAACATAGTGATTTCTGATTATTCTGTCGGTATGTTTCTTTTTCCATTTTCATTAATTATATGAATTATTTCTTTGATGTTATTTCTCTGACAAACTATTGGTTTTTCTGAGATGTGTACTTCATAGTGAATAGATTTTTTTTTCTTTTTTTTTTTACTATGTTAGGGTGGATAAAAATATCGGCTTTATGATTAATATTCATCCAGATAGAGTTAGAATCATGATTTAATTCCCAATTTACCCTTGATATATATGACTAAAATCCAGAAATTGTCTGCTTCCACAAGTTGATAAAGAAACAACAAAGTCTGTTGGTTATGTGATGTACTGCTGGGGTGATCTGAGATACTGGTAATTATGCAATGGCTCTAAAACCATAACTGAACTCAGGGTCATCATCTGATGAGGGATTTCATTGTCATAGTTGCATAATGAATGAATTATGTATATATAATATCATGGAGTGCAGAAATATATCCATTTCAATCCACTTGAAAAATTTAATCAAATATCAGATTTTTTTTTTATATCTCTTCATGACTATGAACGTTGTAGTTCCCTCCCAGGCAAACATGAATCTGTACACACACACATATATATATATATATATATATATATATATATATATATATAGCCAGGACTACTGTTAGTTGAAATTTATAAAATCATTCTCTGAAATAATTTGAGAGGAAAATAGGTTTCTTAAGTAGTGTGAAACATCAATATGTTTATATCAACATGTTTCCTTCACATTATATGTGATATTCATTTTAGTTGTTGCTACTGTTGAAAGTCCTCAAGTGATGTAGTTTCTCTTATTTGGTACAGCTCTTTGTTTTTGATTCTGTAGTGCCAATTCTCAAGTTTCAAAGAATAATGGTCTTTGTGAAGATCTTTTGGCTTCACTTGCCATTTTTAACCATTGTTTTGGTAAAAGTTCCCATTCAAAAGTTCATTGAAGGTTGCTGGATGCAATAATAGCATCTGATCAAGACTAGAGAGTAAATGATGTAATATGTTAAATATAAATAACAAAGATTAAGATACTAGACTAAGTACTGTAACTTAAGTCTTTCTTGACAAATTCCTCACTCACACTCTATAAAGACACACATATAAAAAGAAAACGTTCTTACCTTGACATTTTTGTCCATCCAGATAGTATCCTCTTTGACACCGACATGTCATTTCCCCTTGCTGGTTGTCACACACAGCATATGTTGTGCATTTGGAAGGGTCTGACTCGCAGTCGCTTGAATCTAAAAAATACAAATATTTTTAAGGGTTTAGAAAAAAAAAGAACATTTATGGAACATTTAAATAACTTATCAAAAGTGAACTAACAATGATCTAAATCAAGAGATTTTGAGACATTTTTCCTATAATTCCATGAGATATACAACTTAACAACACTAGAATAACCCTTAAGGTGCTTATGTCAATGTTTTGGATTCTCATCTGATACATCACAAAATTATAAACTTATCCTTGATTAATCTTAGCTAAATAAAGACATATTGTTTAAATTATTATATTTATAAGGTAAGAGAGTTCAATATCAGAAACAAATCAATTATCAATAGACATCATGACACAGGAATCAAAAGTACATTATAACTGTCAGTTTCATGCAAACTTCAGTTCAAACGCCACTACTCTCTTAATGGAGAAGATATAATATATATATATATATATATAGGTTACAAGGGGATTAAACAAATTGAGAAATTGGGAAATAGAACTTCCTAAATTCTTTTGTTTAGTGTTAATGCTGATTGTTATTTTTATGGCAATGACTTTGAGATTATTTATTTTGGTTAAGTGGTTGAAGAGTTTATGTATGTAAATAGGCAAGGCTTCTTTATGGCTATGGGCTCTAAATTGTGTATATATATAAATATATATATATATAATTTTATTCATTTATATGTTCATTGTATATTTTTTTCTTTCATGTATTTTACTTTTTATAATTAGATAACACCCAAAAAAGGGAAAACAGTTATACAAATAAAAAAGTTCACAAGGTATCTTCAAAAAATAGAAAATACAAAACAATTTAAATTTTTTTTTTTAAATATTTGCTGATGATTCACAGGTGAAACTAAGGTAGTGATAAGGTTTAAATGTTTTATCAACTATATTTTAGAGAAAAGTTCATATATATATTATTATTATTATTAAAGACACCAAACACTTTGTGTCAATTTTATTGACTGACTTTTCCAAATTACAAATAATTCTTCTCAGATCAGAAGAAAATTCAGTCAAAAATTGTCCATCATTTAGGTAGGTAGAGACAAATGCTGAGTTTCTTAGAAGTGATGTGAGCAAAGAGTGTTGTGATGTGCTTGTGTCTGTGCTTATTTTATTTGTTATATATATGTGTGTGTGTGTGTGTGTGTGTGTGTGTATATATATATGTATGTTTTGGTTTCTGTTCAACTAAAAAACATTTGCTACCTAAATACACACACATACACATCACAATACACAATACACACATACTGTGGTTAACTGGGGCAGGGGATAGCTCTTAAAGGTTAATGCCTCCAAAACTGCTCTCCTTTAATCACCACAGAGAAACTTTCCTGCCCATCATCAACAGGGCTGATGCTAGACTCATGTGGAGCAACACACTGCACCTTCTTGCCCTCACGTTTTCAACTAACTTGAAGTGGAATGACTACATTGAATCATTAGATGAATCTACTGCAAAGAAAGTTGGGTCACTGTCTCATGCCAGAAGGTTTTTCTTGTCAAGAGTCCATCTTGTGCATTTACAAATCTACCATTCATCCATGCATTGAATACAGTTGTCATATCTGGTCTGGTGCTCCTGCTACTTATCTCGAGGTTCTTGACAAAATCCAAAGAAGGATCTACAATGTAATCAATCCTGACTTGGCATCTTGACTTCAGTCACTTTCTCATTGATATGATATAGCTTCCCTCTGCCTTTTCTACAAATATTTTCCTGGGTACTGCTCTGATGATATTTTTTCCCCTGGTACTCAGATTATATGAGTTTAAGCATGCTACTAGATTGGCATCTAGGTCCCACCCTTTTACTGTTGAATTAGTTAAATATAACTGCCACTTCTACTGCAACAGTTTCTTTTCTTGCACTTCCCTTGTGTGGTACTCCATTCCATTTTCTTGCTTCTCTGATAATTGCAATCTTCAAAATTTTCAATGCAACATCAATCGCCATCTTCTAGAACCCTGTTCAGCTTTTATCCTTTCTTTGGTCCCCCATATATCCAGTGTTTTCCTTCTCTCAACTTTACTCCCTGTAACCACATGTGTACTAGTGGCATTCCCACCTTTCTTGGGGTGAAATGATTAATATATATATATATATATATACTGGTGCTGCACTATCTTCTTTCCCTCTAGGAGTTACTATATGCATGTATTTGTGAAAACTGCAATAACATTATGGCACAATATGTTATTCCTTTTTTGTGTCATTTAATGACACATCAATCTTAAATTTTATATTTGAGTCAATAAGCTTTTACTTGGTTCAGCAATAGATAAACATTGGTTGTTTATATTTGAGTCTGTAAGCATTTACTTCGTAGGTGGTCCCCTTTATTAGAGGTTTCTTACACATCTGCAGAGGATGCAATCAGCATATTCTAGAACTCAATGATACAACAAGGTACAATTAGGCATTTTTAAATACACATATACATACACACATGAATGGCCTTCCTTTCTCTAAACATACACATGTGTTTTTCTGAATATAAG